CCCCCCGCCCCAACCAAGTATGTCTCGCATCTGCGACACCGGCCCAGCCGTCTCGCCCTCGTATCCGGGTTCTTTTTTTTTCTCCACCCACCGCGCTCACGGGCAATGCCCCGCACTGACCACCATGCTGTCCCTGTGCGGGTCGCCGCCCTGGCGCGCCGGGCGAAAAGGAAAGTCATGCGGCGCACCACCAGCTGGTTGAGCTGGAGCGCCGTGGCCACGGCTGCTCTGCTGGCGCTCCTCTCCAGCCATTATGCGACACTGGCCCGGCCGATCCCGGCCGGGTCGGCTGCCGCCCCCGCGGTGGCCATCCTTCCGGATGGCACCACCGGGGCTGATGCCGACGCTGACCAGCGCCTGCTGGTCAAGCTCAAGGCGGCCGCCGATCAGGCTGCCGTGCGGGGCCCGGGCCCCAAGCCCCAAGACGATGGGTCCTCTCGGCGCGAGCAACGAGGTGCGTCGTCACTGCCGGCTGTGTCCCCGTCCCGGTCCCGCTTTCCCCGGCGCGAGCCGCATCGGTAGTTGCCCCGTGTGTGTGTGTGTCTCTGTGTGTGTGTGTGTGTGTGTGTGTGTGTGTCTCTGTGTGTGTGTGTGTGTGTGTGCTTGTGTGTGCTTGTGTCCGTGGGGCCTTGTTCCTTGTCCTCCGCCCTCCTCTCCATCTCCACGCGGCTTCCGTGCCACCATTCTCCCGCATCCACAAGTGTCCGACCATGTCTCCAGCCAGGCGGCCGGGCAGCCGGGGGCCAGGGCCCTGTCATCCAAGTGAATGCGTGTGTGTGTGTGTGTGTGTCTATGTGTGCCTCTCTGCGTATTCGTGTCTGTGACCGTGTGGGAGCCCGCGCGCCAGCTTGATCGCACATCTGTCCGTGTGGGCAGGCACCTGGGTGCTTCGGGGCGCGCGCGCTTGTGTGTGTTTGTGCGTGTATGCACATACGTGTATCTGCGCGGAAGCACACACACACGCACGCGCAGGCAAGCAGGCCGGACACTGGCGCCGGCACCGGCAGCAACGTTGCCGTCGCCCCCCCCCCTCCCCTCTCCTCCCCGAGCACGATGGCGCCCGACCCTGCTGGCGCCGGGCCGCCCCCGCGCGTGGGTCGCCGCTTGACATCTGCGCGCGCACACACACGCACACAGCAAAGCAGCAATCTCATATTGATGACGCGCCACTCCCCTTCGCCCGCCGCCGCCCGGTGTTGCTTGGGCTCCCGATGTGTGTGTGTGTGTGTGTGTGTGTGTGTGTGTGTGTGTGTGTATGCCTGGGTGCATGGACACCCGCGGGCGCTCGCATGCCCTCGTGCACACGCCTTTCGTCCCGCCCCTGGTCCCCCCTTGGCCTCCGGTGCCCCCCCCCCGCCCCCCTGTCCCCCCCCCCCCCCCCCCCCCCCCCCCCCGCTCCCCCCGGCCGCGCACCCCTGGTGGGGCGGGCCAAAAGAAAAAGACCGCGATGACAAGGCCCCAGGCCGCCGCCCGCCCCTGCTCACTGACACGCTGAATGTCTTCTTCTCACACCTGCCGCTGAAAAAAATCGACGAAGAGTGCAACCTCGTGTGTGCCCAGATCTGGGACCCCATCTGCGCCATCGACGGAAAGACCTACAACAACCAGTGCGAATACGAACGGGCCATCTGCATGCAGGGGCTCTTTGCCATGGGGGTGCAGAACCGCGGCCCCTGCGCCGGAGACCTCCGTGCGTCTCTCATCCGCTTTGTTTGGTTTATGCATCGCCTTGTGAAGCAGCCGTCGCCGTCGCCCACGCCCACGCCCACGCCCACGCCCGCACGCACTCGCTCCGCCTCGCAGGCTGACAGCATGCGTGCCTTCGACACCGCCGCCGCCGCCGCCGCCATCGACACCCTCCTCGCCACGGCCACCGTCGACCTGGACCTGGCGTCGTCGGGCGCTCTCGGCACCCTAGACCGCATTGGCCGGCACTTCCCGGGCGGCCGCAAGGGCGCCACGGCCGCCGCCTCGCCGAAGGCCGACCGCGAGCTGGCCAAGGCCCGTGACTGCGCCGGGAACCTGTGCGCCGAGATCTTCGACCCGGTGTGCGCCACCAACGGCCGGCAGTACAACAACCGGTGCGAGCTGGACCGGGCCGCCTGCGCCACCGGGCTCACGGCCGACTGGCTGAAGGTGGCCCCCGGCGGGTCCTGCGAGGCGGACCCGGCCAAGCAGCTCCACGAGTGCGGCATCCACTGCCCGGAGGATGCCCTGCGCCAGGCCCAGGGCCCGCCCGGCAGCGGTGGCGGCCCGCTCAAGTCCGCCGTTTGCGGCACCGACGGCATCACCTATGATGGGCCCTGCTCGCTGGCCCGCGCCCGGTGCTTCTACCACGATGGCAATGCCGTGCAGGAGGGCGCCAATTGGCACATCGTCGCCTCGAAGGGGGCCTGCCCGGAGGCCCCGGGCGCGCCTCGGCCCACGGCCGGCGTCCTGGCCGCCGATGACGACCCGGTCCCGTGCGACGGCTTCTGCACGGAGATCTACCAGCCGGTGTGCGGCTCCGACAGCCGGACCTACGGCAATGCGTGCGAGCTGGCGCGCACGCGCTCGTGCGGCGTGTCCGCCGCCGGGTACGGCCTGTTCATCGCCTACGACGGCGAGTGCACCCCGGATGGCGAATGCCCGCAGGCCTGCACCCGCGAGTATGACCCGGTGTGCGCCTCCAACCAGGAGACCTATGCCAATGCCTGTGTCTTCCGGGCCAACCGCTGCGAGAGCGGCCCGAACGCCGCGCAGCTGATCATCCAGCATCGCGGCCCGTGCTCCGGCAACTACCCGGTCGATGAGACCGTCCCGGAGCCCGGCACCGGCGAGCTGGCCGGCAGCAGCAGCGACGGCAGCGACGGCAGCGCCGGCGTGCCCGGCAACTGCCCGCAATTCTGCACCCTCCAGTGGGCCCCGGTGTGCGGGACCAATGGCGTGACGTACGGCAATGCGTGCGGCTTTGCCGTGGCCAAGTGCTCGGACCCGGACATGGCCAATGTGGAGATCCGCCACAATGGCGAGTGTGGGGACGGCGGCAGCGGCGGCAGCAGCACCGGCGGCAGCAGCAGCAGCAGCAGCAGCGGCTCCTCGTCCGCCGAGGCGCCGCCCGTTGTCTTCGGCAAGTCCTACTGCGACAATGACGACGCCAGCGCCAGCGCTTCGGCCATGTGTGCCGAGGCCTTCCCGGATGCCGGGCCCGATGCCATCTGCCTGGACGAGCCGAAGCAGTGCCTGGTGGAGCCCTGCCCGCAGTTCACCTGCGTCCCGCGGAATGTTGGCTGCGGCATTCGCTGCGACCCGTCGCAGATCAACCCCGTGTGCGGGTCCGACGGCCGGTGGAGCTCCAACGAGTGTCTCTTCCTTTCGCGCCTGTGTCGCATGGAGGATGACTCGGCGGCCGTGTCGGCCTCGTCGTCGGCCTCGTCGTCGGCCTCGTCGTCGGGGTCGGCTGCCGTGGCAAGCATGCGCCGGGCGGCCCGCTCTGCCAGCGGGTCCTCCTCGTCGGAGGATCACTCCGACAGCGAGGGCGACTCCGACAGCGAGGAGGATGGCAGCGAGCCCTTCATGGCCGTGCACCAGACTTCGCGCTCGGTGTGTGGCTGCGATTGCGATGGCCGCGTCATGGTGCGTGTCTGCTTGGATGTGTGCTCGCGCCTTGGGGCCCGTGTGGCGGCGTGAGGGGCCGGCCAAAGCCAGGGCCTGTGCCAAGGGGAGCGCCGGCCGACCGCGGGAGGGGGGTGGCCAGAGAGAGAGAGAGAGACAGAGAGAGAGAGAACGGGCGCATGCCAGGCGTGGTGAAGCAAGAGACCTATGCCTCGCCCTCCTGGGGAGCAGCCCCCCAGGAGGGGATGCCAAGGCTCGTGAGCGAGAAGAGGAGGACGAGAGCGTGCATGAGAGTGTGACTGAGAGCGTGCATGAGAGTGTGACTGAGAGAGTGCATGAGAGCGCGAATACGAGTGTGAGTGAGAGCGTGACTCAAAGCATGACTGAGAGCGTGAATGAGAGCGTGAATGAGAGCGTGAATGAGAGCGTGAATGAGAGCGTGACCGAGGCCCCAGACACAGGCATCGAAGAGCGACAGAGCGAGCCAGCCCCCCCCGAGAACGGCCGAAAGTGAGAATGAAAGGAGGCGAAGGAGGAGAGCCAGCCAGATAGTAGCATGCGCACGCCCTAACCACACCATCCGGCGGGCACACCCCTACACACAGGACCTCTCCTGGAGCCAGATGCTGCAGCTGGCCCAGCTGCCGGCCGACTCGCGCACGCTGGACTTCGGCGACCTGGTCAAGATCCGCCGGGCCCTGAGCAACCCCAATGGCGAGGGCTTCGACGAGAATGACGACGGCACTTTCAACCGCAACGTCTCGCGCGACATGGCCCACCGCCGCCCGGCCCGCCGCCAGCAGGAGGAGGCCACCATGGATGTCATGGTCCGCGCCGACCCGGCCCTCGTGGACTACAGCGCCCTGTCGATGCTGGGTCTGGCCGACCACAATGGCGATGGCCTGATGACGGAGGACGAGTTCACCGACCTGAAGCGCTACTACCACGCCACGCAGGGGGTGCCGATTGACCCGGCCGAGGTGGCCGCCGGTTCGGCCACCGGGGGTGCTCGCTCCGACAAGGATCGCATCATGTCCCCGAGCGCCATGGGCGGTCTGATCGGTGTGGCGGTCATCGCCCTCGGTGTGGCCGGTGTCGTGGGCTCGCTCAAGGTCAAGGAGCAGATGACCTTCCGGCGGAACTGGTGCGTGTGTCGGGTTTGCCTTTTCTGCGCCCCCGCTTTCTTTCTCTCGGGCGCGCGCGCCGGGGCCGACGGAGAGGGACAAGCAGGGAGTGCCGGCGGG